CACAAAGTACATAAAACCGGGGGGGGAAGTGGAGTCTAACCCCCTACCCATTCCTTTCTTCATTCCATTATGTAGCATAGATAATGACAATTTAATAGGCACGTCAATCTGCTCTTTGAATGGGATTTTGATTTTGTGTGCAAATTTAATTTAAACTTTGCATCAGTTTCGATGGGGAATCATAGCTTTAAGTACAAAAAAGTTAAAGAGAGATCTATAAAAGTAGAAAAATAGTGAATTAAGAGAAACGTATCACTTATCTATGCGAAAGAGAACATCACATTATCTTCATAGCTAGCTTTATCTATACATCACTCTGAACTCTGATAACTGGGATATCTTTTACCTTGTTTGTCATAGAAAAATACACACTGTAGAGGCTGAAGGAGAGATGCTATATCTCTTTCATTAGAAGATTTCTTAGATTTCTTGGAATATATCACAGATTGCTCTTTATGTGAAATATATTATATATCTAGAGAGAGATATTCCTTCCATCTCTCTCAGAATTAATTAGTTCCGTCTCTCTCTATCGCTTATCATATTTATCCACTCGATTGGAGCTCATTATGCAGTCAACAAGATTATCGAACGGAGACCCAAACACAGACACAGAAACAGATACAGTCTGGAATTGATTTGCCATTTGATTTAACATTAATGAACAAAATGCAATTAATTGAAAACTATTTCCCACCTCCTCTCCTCTTCTATCCCATTCTCTTTGACTGCTACGTCTCTGCCCCTGCTCTCCCTCTGCCCCTCTTCCTGTTTTTCTCTTTCTGTTTCCAGTTTCCCGTTTCTGTCTCGCTTTTTGTGTGTGTGTTTTCCGCTGTTTGTAATTACCTTTTTGTGCATAATTGGTAGGCTTTAATGGGTTAACAAAATGCGATTAACCGAAATGCAATCGAAAAATGCAAATTTCCCTCGCTAGTTGGTGGTTAGGGGTAGAGGAAGATAATGCCACCCTTCCGCTGGAATGGCAGCTACAATTCTCAATTGAAAATAGCCAAAAGCGATGCTCCATTTTTGGGAGGAGGCTCACAGGCACTTGTTGCATGCCCCCATCCACCCCACATCCCCCCACATCTTCATGGCTCTCCCCCTTGTTTTACTCCGTCGCTGTGACACTTTACAAAGTGCTGCAATTAAGGCTGACAAAGTGCTGGGCCCGACTCGACGGACGGACTCGTTTCGGCCCGGTTCCTGGCCTGCCAGCAGCATCCAGCGAACATTCTGAGAACATTGGAAACACTCGAATGAATTTGTCGAAACATGCCTCTGCCCTCTACCCTCTGCCCCCATTGTGTGGCTCCCCATTTTGCTCCTCCTCTGTGTAAGCATCGCATCTTTTGGATACGTATTAATCAGAAACTAAATGAAATGCTAAACATCTGAAATGTTTGCCTCAACAAACAATTTGTCATCCGTCGTAATGGACATGGACAAGTGTCACTTTCGGGTTCTTAAAAATATCATCTCGGAGCGAAACGAAACGAAACTATTTCGAGTGTCCGATGCGGCTGTTCCTACGCTTTCCCCATCTCTTTGGGGGTAGCAGCAACACGACGTAATCCGAGCTGCAGTCGCCCCTCTATTAATGGTTCACCCAGAAAGATCTCTGCTCCTCCTCCTCCTCCTCGGCAGAAGGCTGCTGCCCAGGGTCAGCAAGGGTAAGGTTATGGATGGCGGCTCTCGGCCCCACAGTAATTTTCATTGAGATTCAGATTGAGATACTTTTGCTTTCGCTTTCGTTTTGAATGTGCCTTCTGGGGCCTCTGGGGCTGTCGTCAATCAGATTTTGAAATTTCTGACTTTGGCATTGACGTCTTTTTCGGTTGTCGATCGAAATAGATTCGGTTTGAAGACCGAAAACCGAAAACCGAAATCCGAAATGTTGAGCAAATAAATACGAGTCCGGTTGCCCTGTGGGGGCGCTTGTGGGAAGGTAAGGCCAACGAAAATAGGTTTCTGATACAAAATACAATATTTTTCCAATGAAAATCGAATTGGAATGGAATGTCTTTTAGACAGCCCCCGAACATTCCCCAATAAACATTTTAAATGCTCGGCAAATGTTGAGGTAATTAATTCTCGATTTCTGCCTGGGAAACCATTTCCCCCCTCCCCCTGAAAATAAAATGCACGTAAATGTTGCACGTTGTGATTTATGACCGCGCGCCGCATGAGAATTATAATTTGTTCAGCGTTTTAGCCAAAATAAATATATATTTTCGGTTTGTTAAATTCATAAACAAAAGCGGGACTCTCGACGGCTCCACTCGGGGATGCGGGTTTCCCCCAAGCGAAGCGTCGCTGCAAAACCACTTAACCCAAGCCCCAATCCCCAATCCCCATCCCCCGCTATCCACTGGCCATCGCGATGGGTTTTGTGGCTCTTTTCGAGGCGATGAAACTGAAAATTGTTTGCCAGTCACGTTTGTGGTGCAGAAAGAGAGCGAGTGCGAGAGCTCCATTTGGCCCCAAGTGGAGTCCGCGTCCGGACACACTGGTGTCTGCACTTCTTTTTCTTTGTGGAATCTGCGGATCTCTGCCTGCGCTGTGTCTCTGTCGCTGTCTGTGTCTGTGTCTGTGGGTGTTTATTTTGAACGCATTGCGGTTATATAATTGCGAGGCGTCGGATACGTGATTACTTTTACGCAAATTGCTACTCGAACACTTGAATACTCGAATACTCTCGTATTGTGTAACTCCCCCGCCTCTCGTCTCGTGGTTTCGCGTCTCTCTGTCTCTGCGAAAGTGTGCCAGCCGAAAATCTGGCAATATTCGTTGCGTATTGGAAAGTGACTAAGTGATGGCGAAAGATAAACGGCACAATTGCATCTGCGAGTAGATAAGGTCAGGGCTGGGGATCGGAGAGGATTTCCCAAACGAGATGAAAGTTTACAGGTGCAAAGGTATAGGAAAGGAATAGGCGATGCACTCCCCCATTCTTGATAGTGATTCTCAGATTGTCTCATTCCTAGAAAGCAGAAAATGTTTCAAATAAGCGTAGATTTTCAGGAGACATCAAGATCAGACCGAATGAGGTCATTGCAGCCACGAAACACCCTGTATACCTCCGCCTCCACCTCCGCACTCTTTCGCTCTCCCACTCCTATCGAGCTCGTTTCGAATGCTCTTTAATTATTGTCTTTCGGTCTTGTTTCGCGTTGTTTCGCCCAATTTTTGGTTTGTGAATGACATACGAACCCTGAAATTTCACTGCGAAATACAATATATGCATGCCTCAGCGCGCTGAGGGGCATGCAACAACCTAGCACGACAGTTCATGAAGGTTAAATTCTTGAGAAATGATTTTCTGCAAAAGCAAAATGCCAATGCAATGGGGAGTGGCGACTGGTGCGGAGGGGAGCACTAATTAAAATATACGCAAAGCTGTTTGAAAATATGTAGAGCATGTCTCCCCCCCCTTAAGAGTCCCCTGATTATTGCAATACGAGTACAGAACACACATATAAATCGTATATGTATATATATAGTGATTGCACGAAGTCGAGCCATGAAATATTGTCACGCACTCGGGGAATGCCTTCATTTCTCCCTTCCAGCCTGTTTGCCGGGAAGCAGGATGTGAATGAGAACTCGAGAGTCGAGAGTCGAGAATGAGTCGGATTGTGGCATTCTAATGAGCTTTGCAACATTTCCTTAGCGGCCCTAATTTACGATCCCCAACTGCAGGCAGCAGCAGCAGCAGCAGCAGGCAGAGTTCTTAAGCGATCCACTTGATAATTAATTGCGACACGAACTGATAAACGCGATGAAAGGCTGAATGGCAGAAAGGCGTGCAAACACAAGGGCGATTCATTCATGCACTGTCTACGAGTAGATCTTGCACAGTAGCCATTAGCTCACAAATATTTATGGAACCCCCATTCATGTCGGGGCTTATCACTTTGAGCATTCGATTGAACAGCCCCACTTTAATTGGGAGGGTGACGAACTGTTTTTCTGTAGAGCTCTACAAAGGTGCATTGGCTGAGTGATTGATTGGTTCGTCGAGTGAGTGATGATGGTGGTCAAGGGGTTCACTGAACTCTAACCCCAAAACAATCGATGAGGAACCCTCAGGAATATTGGTAGAATTACATCACAGACCACTGCTGGATGGCAAATGGAGAATGAGAGCATTCACTGCGCATACGTGATATCAGCGAGCGAGAAAAAGAGATCGAGATCGAGAGAGTGACAGAGAGAGCGAAAGCCTGACCGAAAATAGATCAACGAAAAGGAAAAACTAGAAAGAGCAGCCAAGAAAATCGCACAAGCATTTGCCTGCGCGACGACTGCCAAGTGAAAGATAATTTTTTTCTTTCTTTTCTATATTTTCTTTGCCGTCGTTTGGCGACCTAGAGCCCCCCACTTCATCATTAATAATAAATATCTCGGGTATGTATTTTCATGTTGCAGAATGTCTCAGAAATTGTGGCGCCAAACACTTTCGCAATCTGTGTATGGCGCAGATACTGACTGACTCGTACGAGTATCTGTATCTGGCTGGTGGTCACTAGCAGACTGACTGCGCGAGGAAGCAAAATCCAATCCGCGCCACAGCAGCCATTCTGCGGCCGCTATAAATAAACTCACCTTGAAAATGTTCTAAAAATTTTCTCGCTTTTCGTTTTTGAAATGAAATAACATATATAAAATTTTATTCAATTTCAACGAGCCGAAGATCTACGACGTATCTCTAGCTGTGTATCTGTATCTGTGCCTATCTGTATCTCTATCTGCATATGATATATGTCTTTAGGTATTCTAGAAATCCAGAAAATGTCGAAAATGATTTTGATTGGAAATACACTTTATTTTTTTTCCTTTTTTTTGGTTTAACCTTTACGGAAATTCACACACACACACACACTCACACCAAAGGACATAGAAAAGCGGCAGATATATGGGGATATAATGGGGATCTGATCTCTCAGTTCGGTTATTGTATAACTCTCTATATTCTATACTATTCAGATTATACACACTTTGCTACTGCTGATTGGTGGATACGATTGGTACGACGGATTCGGACTTGGATGTGGACTGGACTCGAGATGCGGCTGGCGTCCGAGCTGTTCCGATTCGGGATTGGTTTGGATTTGGTTTCGGTTTCGGTCTTGATTTTAATTTTGATTTAGAATCTCGGATCTGTGTTTCGTGTTTCGGGTCTGTTCTTCTCGGTGCTCCGATAGTACGGTGCCAGCAGTGACAGTAGAAGACAGTTCTTTGGGGGCGACGTTAACTAAGCGACGATTTTCTCTCAACTAAAGCAAAAACCGAAACCGAAAAATTTTATGTGCATTTCGCTTTATTTTGTCGAATGGGAAAATCTTTTCAACCACATCGCTGGCATCGCCGTCGACGGCGCAGTCGGTGCCTCTGCTTTTGGGCCGTGCGAGAGTTATATAGCCACAGACAGGCCCCGCAACTATATAGACATTGTTGGTTCTCAATTCCCAACCGATACGGAAAGAGCAAAGGCAGAGGCAGTGGCAGTGGCAGGCGAGAGGCTAGAGGCAGAGGCAGACCAGTCGCGGCCACAAAGCTACAAAAAAATGCCAGACGGCTGCCAATGTCTGTCTGCCTTCTGTACTTCTTAAATTTTCTTGGTTCGGGATATACTATATTTTGTTATTTAGCTAATTGTTTGTATTTTGTTTTCATTCCCGAGCATTTAGTGGCACACGGCACACGGATATGTACAGTGCGTTTCGTGGCTATAATGGAACCGGGGCAGTGGAAAGGGGGAAAACTGTCGACTCGATGGATCTTTAAGTGGAACTCTTGGATAACTTTTGATAAAAAAAAAATGGGAAGTACTTCTTGGAGATATAAATAGGAAATAGGGGGGACTCATTGCAATGAAACGCACCGTTGGCACGTCGTCTGCCTGATGTTTACAACTAAGTAGTGCAGGTGCTTTCGGTTTCAGTTCGGTTTCTGGGTTCTGCTTCTGTTGCTGTGGATGAACCATTTCCGTGATCTGTTTTCCATCCGACTACAGCAAAGAGCACACGAGAGCACAGAGTCCCAGATCTAGATGACTGACTACAGCTGATCCTCAGACGATGGTAAGGGTAAAGAAGAAACAAATGGATGACTCATCGCTGACTCAATCTGAGAGATCCATTAAATGTTTGCCAATAATCGATTAATCAAACATGACTCTTCGGCCATTTCGGGGTCCTTCATTTAAAGTGATCTTTCGAGGCGGCAAGGTCGCATTTAAAAATGCTCTAGAATAATGCTCCCAGACCTGATGCCGAACGAGAAAATTAAACCATAAATAATTTAATGCTAAAATGTTGCACACATTTTTTTCCATCATCCCCGAAGCTCAATCAGGCACAAAAAATACGATTAATGTGGAAAAACATGGCGGGCCTAATGGATAAATACGAGTATATATTATTTGGATGGTTTCTACATGTGTAGTACGCGTATCTATGTGAGTATTAAATTCACATGAAAAAAGCTCCAAAGAAGAGCAAACAAGTAATAAACCCATCGCCCTTCCGACTCTGTCTCTCTCTCTTGCACTTTTTGTGTGTGGTTCGGTGTGGTTCTTGGTGGAAAAAACAATTTGAGCTTTTAATTAAATCATGTTCGGGGTGCAGAAAAAACTCTCGCTACGCGATTCAATCAAATCACTAAAAATGTTGCCAAAATAAAAACAACAAGCACTGATATCGCCCCGCAGGGGAACGCCAGTGGATGGAAGAGGGCCTCTTTTCTCTTGTCACACGATTAAGAAGGTCCCCTGAATGTGCCCCATAGCACATAAAATTCATTTTAAAGACCGCATCTCGATGATCTTTCAGTTTCAGTTTCAGTTTGGGTTTCGCTTTTGTTGGTTTTGTTGCTGCTGCTGTCGGTTTTAATTGCGTCAAGATGACAACAGTTACACAATTTCTTGCGGTTAACACTTTTGGTTTTTGGTTTTCGGTTTTATTTGGTTAATGGCCAAAGTAAAGTATCTACGTTTGGTGGACGCTGACTCAACTCAGATCAGCTAAAATTCAACGGCTGATTAGGCCCGGCCAGTGGTCAGTTTTTTTGGCGTATTTCTTTCTGTATGAATCACTCGAATCGAATTCACGAACGAACCCTTTGAATGGGAACCGGCTGGCTCGGCTTTGGGAGCTCTCTGCGTTTCATGATTCTTTTTGTTTCGGCCAAAACAAGAACTTGGCCAATTGCACACACACTCACACACACTCACAATCACACTTACACTTGGGGCTGGGGCTGGGGGTTTTCTTTGTTTCGGTACTGCGAAAATTGTTGATTCGGTTCTTGCGATCCAAGAGGATTCCTTCTGCCTCTTCTTGTGCTTGTGCTTCTGGTTTCGGTTTATATTTCTGTTTGTGTTACGGTGGTTCCGCTGGGGCGAGAGGCGAGACAACCGCGCGCGATCGTTGCGTTCGAACGAATGTGAGACCGATACGGGCTGAAGTCGCTGCCAAGCGACTCTCGCCAATGCACACACAGTTACAAAGAGACTGAGAGTAAAAACAAAGAACCAGTCGAAACGAAACGCTGGCTGCGAGTCGCATCACACGTTCAGCGACTTAAGACTACACGGCACTCAGCATGTACTCCGCAGTGAACGAGCGGAGAGAGGCGTTGTATTCTTGGTTCTTTGGTTCTTTTCACGTGTTTCTATATGTCTCCGTGTCATAGTTAGAGATACATTTAAGACAGCGTCAAATCACAGGAGTCTGCACACAAAATTTCGTCTGCTCAAGGCTTAACGGTCTCAGCAATCTACACGAATAAAATATACCTTGAGTACAGGGTACAAAAACACCCACACACACATACATACATATAAGCGCTCGAGAGAGCTCTCTCTCTTTCTCTCTCACTCTCTCTCTATGTGGCTGCAGCAGCAATCAACAGGTAAACAGCCAGCCGAAAGGTGTGCAAGATACTCTCACTGTATCTTCGGATGTATTTATGTGTCTGTATCTGTGCGTGTGTCGGTATCTGCGCTTGTGTGCAACACTTGCTGATAAGATAAAGGGAAGCCAAAGCAGCACCAGCTACATCGACAGCGACAGAAACCGAAAAGCCACCCGAAACTTCTACGAGCTTTTCTTCCCCAAAACAAAAAACAAAAAAAACGGGATCGGATTCGGGATCAGCCCTGAGCTTGGACTGGACTGGGGCCTCATTCTATATTTAGGCTGCATGCCACATCGCATCGGGCTGGGCTGGAACTGGTTCCTCCAGTTTCCTGATAATCTGGGTGACGGCTACAGCCCCAACTCCGATTCTGCAGCGACCGTCTGATTTTCCTTTTCAGCGCCAAAAACAGAAAACAAAATGCACTCCTTCCTGGCCTGCCCTGCCCTTCCCTGCCCTGGCCTCCTCCGCCATACCAAAAAGCGATCAAAACTGCGCAGTTGCCCTGGAAACCGGTTAATTCTGCGACTGCCAGCCATACCATCCCATCCCGATTCGAGCCCTTTGCCATGATATTGACCAAGAGGCACAGCCAGGCCTGCCAGCCACTCCCCATTGGGGCGGCCGGACAGAAACTAAAAGTGCTAGACTCGTCATCCCAGGTCTGTCGGCCTGGCTAATGCACGCGAAAGCGGCAGTAAATCATTTAGCAACTATTTTGTTACAGACCGCAAACCCCGGACCTCCAGATCCCCGTACCCCACAGTCCAGATCCCAGATCCGACCGCAACTAAAGGAAACGACAACGCGCCGGCGCGCAGTCATCTTGGAAATGTCACGCATGCGCTGTTGGCATGCGCGTAATTGCGTTGAGGATGTGACGGCCAGAGGATGTCTGTCCCCACTACCCACTTCCAAGTCCCCAATCCCCCCTGTCTGGCACTACAATTTAATGAGCGAATAAGCCAAGAAATTGCATGGAAAAGAGCCCAAAGAATGGGCCTCGCCCCACCCCGTCCCGCAAACAAATAAATTATGTAATTGTGAATGAATGAAAGTGACATTAATTAAATATTTAACTGGTAAAAATTTAAGAAGAGCTTTTAATTGAGCTTTTAATTAAAGCTTATTTGTTGTTTTTTTCCCTATTAAATGTTGAAAAAATACCATATGAAAATTACAAAAATTTTACTTGAAAAACAGAACAAAAATACTGTAAAACGAGAAGGAACGTGTGAGTCGCTTCTGGGGGGACTCACTTATACCCGTACTCAGTCAGTATATACATTTTGAGTTATGACTTTTAGATTTTAGAAAAAAAAAATTTTACATTTTACATTTTTTTGCTACATATGTATCTACATCTAAATATACAATGTATATTCTACATCTAACATGTAGATTTACGTGTTCCATTTATTCTACATCTCCTCCGTGGGTTGCCGCGCACTGAACGCGGCAGAGTGTGCGAGCGAGTGGAAAATGAGTTGAGTTGTCGTTGGCTGGGGGGGGGGGAGCAACAGAAAATTTCTTCATTCTGGCTATAATTATGATCCGATCTGATTCAGATTTGGCAATCTGGTAGATATGGGCATCTCTACGATACTGCGTTTTTAGTTTTATCGTATCTTTAAAATTGTGCCTGCCACAGATTTTCGTCCTTTGTGGGGCGGAGGAAGCGGGGCGAAATTTTGAATACACTTGTAGCAGTGTGATATCACATGAGTTGGAAACCAAATTTGGTTACCCTAACTCTTATAGCTCTGGATCCAGGCTCTCAACAAGACGGACGGACGGACGGACGGACAGACAGACATGGCTATATCGACTCGGCTATTGATGCTGATCAGAATATATATCTTTATGGGGTCGGAAAATTTTCCTTCTCTGCGTTACACACATCCACTTTTACCACAAATCTAATATACCCCTTAACTCTTTTTTGAGTACGGGTATAAAAACCGTACCCCATAAAAACCAAAAAAAAAACGTTTGGCATTTTTTTGGTTATTTTGGGTTAAAAACTTGGCTAGTTTTCAAATTTTACATGTATTTTACAAAAATCGATCGAAAGGTATTAATTTGCCAGGAGCACCCTGTCAATACCTTCCACTTCCCGTTTTTATATTATTCAGCCAATTCTCCAACCATTATTGGAGACGAAATGTGGGAGCGCTGTGCTGTGCAGTGCTGAATGACTGATAGATGGCGGCAGTACACGCGTTTTCTGTTGCAACCCTGTCGCGCGTAGCAACATTTGGTACATGTTTGTAAGCAGTGCTGCCCATCATTGGGTACATTTTCAGTAGGCGCGAAGTTCAAATGTGTACCTAAATAATACTTGGGCGGGCATGCTGCTGCCCACTTGAAGCGCTTGGATCTTAAAATGAAAAATTTATTTAAGTTATGGAATTTCTACTGAATTTTCCATATATTTGTAATGGTCTTAATGGTCTGGCTGGGTCTGGGAAAGACCATAATTCCGTTGTAAACCCTATTTACAATCAAAGATGTGTAAGGGTGTAGGGTAATATTTGTAATGTTCTCTCCACCACTGACGAGCGTAACATAGCCAAGGCCCTTGATCAAAGCCTTTGATTGACCAGCCCCTGATCATTTTTGCGTTATTCTCACGCAATTGAATGGCGCAGACTTTTGTCAAAATCTAAAGGGCATTTAGTAGCTACCTTTTGTTTAATGACAACCCCTCTTGGGGTCCACGCTGTGGAGAGTCTGTTGATGCAGAATTAATTGCTGCCCAAACTGAAACCTTAAGGAACGAAAGCTGGAGCTAAGCGGATCTAAATGTTTACTTTTAATAGTAATATGCCCAATAACTATACACAATTTCGTTTCTATCATGGCCCTATGATACAGTGGTCTGTTCTGACCGATTCCTGCGATTGATCTGCCCATTCATGAGCTATGGGCATCAAAGCCCATGCAACCCCACACAGAATGATCCCTAATTGAGCCCCTATGTACATCGAGTCGAGTATCGTTTCGTAATGTAGGAATTGCCTTTTGCTCGGATATTTACAGTTGGCACTTGTCAACAGGAATCACCGTTATGCCGCTGCCAGGCCCCAGGCGGGTGGGGAGCGGACAGAGGGCACACAGAGAGCGGCGGGTATGGATGAGCAGAGCAGAGCAGAACAGAACAGAGAAAAGGAGTGGAGAGGAGAGAGCACGTGCCCATCCCATCACGATAACAGGCGCAAACAATTTGACAATTTAATGTGGCGACAATCAACCTGCAGAACACGGCAGAACACCGCAGAACAGGACTCACCTGAGCACAACTCGGCACTCGCTGACAACATTAGCCCTGTCCGTTCGAAGGGGGGGCCGAAGTCGAGTCGAGTCGGGTCTATAATTATAATTCCATTACCATTACCAGCGCGAAGGAGGCGCGAGCCACTCGTAAGGAGCAGGGCCCAAGGGGAGGAGAAAGAGACACAGAGACAGAGAGTGCAACAGGAACAAATTGGAAAGGTGCTACAGCCACAGATCCTACGCAGATCCTGTGTGCCCATCAAAGACAATTGAGTGGAGTAATTGCCGAACAAGACCAGGAACCAAAAGTCAGCCAGGCCAGGCCAGGCCAGCTCGCTCGCTCGCCCGATCGGCTAATGATGGCCAAGGATAATGCGGGCCCCGGCCCCGGCCTCGTGTTAATGTGGCCAATGCGCCGCAATGAGCAGGTGAATCGCACTTCGAACGTGGCATTCCCCCGAATGCGGAAGTATGCGCATTTCGTTTGATTTGCAGCGGATCCACATTTGATGGAATGTCGAAACCGAAGAACCCCCGTTCCGCCTGGCCAGCAAATTGGGATGCGGCTGCGACTGCGGATGCGAATGCGGAGAGCGGGACAGGGCACCACAGCTGCCAATCCGTTGCTAAACCACGTTTTATGAGGCACCAGCAGCAGCAGCCCCACCAGGTGGGGTCGACGCGCATTCGGCGATAAGAATGTCATAACACAAACTCCCAATTAACTACATCAGCGAGTGGAGGAGTAGCTGCAGCTTCGTCCACAGGTTAATCTACAGCTCCAGCGCCAGCTCCAGCTCATTTGCATCCAAGAGTTTCGAGGGCATGGGCATTCATCATGGGCCTCCTCGCAACACAACGGGTGACCAGGCAGGAGATACTCTTCGAGAGAGTGAGATGCAGAGAAAGAGAGAGAGAGAGAGAGAGAGAGGGGGAGGCGCTGAGCAGACAGACGTGTGGCGTGTTGGCTCCTGTAAGTAGTTAACTCTGACTTTTATTGCCGCACAGTCGATGGACCACCGAAGGGTCATTGGCTCTGGCCCCGCATCGAATCGAATCGGATCGAAGCGGACCGTACCGGGTCTCGTTTTGCGAAAGATCTCCGCTTCAAGTTCACACCCAGATTGGAGATTCATTTCCGCCCCTGAAGAGCCGGAGCCAGAGCCAGAGCCAGAGCCTGGGACCCAATCAATATACCCACAATAAAGGTTAATTATGTAAATGTCACACAGTTTTCTGCTGTAGTCTTCCCCTTCATCGTTGTCGGTCTATTTCGATTCCAATACCAATACCAATTCCAATTCCGATTCCGAAACGCGCTCAAAGCCCACAATTTAATGGTCTCTTCTGTGGAGGAAGGAGAAACATTTCAATTTTTTATTAGTTCACATTCGGTGTCTTAACCTGTTGTCTGTCGAGTCTGTCGAGAGCGTTCTAAATGAGAACATAACTGCTTCTGTTGCCGCTTGGCCGCTCTGTCTGTCCCTCAGTCTGTCTTGGCCAATTAACCCCTTGTTCCTTCATATATGTTGGCCCTCGCCCTGGCCCTGGCCGAACCCTGTCTTTTGCCGCTTTTTACGGTTTAATTGTGCCCACAGCCACAGCTACAGCCACAGACAAAACAGAGAAATCAATCTCGAATCTCGAAATGCGTTGACAACTCGGTCCCCGTCCCATTCCGTCCCGGGCCCAGACAGCTCAGATTGCGAGCGAGTCACCTCTGGAGGAGGCACCCGAGAGGTGCATTTAAGTGCACCTTTAGGAAATTAACGATAAAAAATTGCTTCATTTAACCAGGCAGCAAGCAAGCAAGCAACCAACAGCAATCCGGCACTAAAAACTAACAAACTGAGCGGCAGGGCAGCCACAGCCACAGAGCAGACAATGTCCGAAATTGAGAGCAGAAAAAGTGTCAGCAGAGAGAAAAGCAACGCAAGAGCAAGGGTTCGGGCGAGATCTTCCAAAGGCCAGAAGGCCATGCCCTAGAAAGCGGAAGCCCCCCCCTGACTCTGGAAAGGTTAGTGCCAGTGTGAGTGGATCCAGAAAAAAGCCCCAAACTATTACAAATATCTCTGGGGAATTGTTATCCCAAAGCAGACTTACAGATCCATAACTTTAGCCCATAGAATCCCAGTCCTGTATCTATTACAAATATCTCTGGGGAATTGTTATCCCAAAGCAGACTTACAGATCCATAACTTTAGCCCATAGAATCCCAGTCCAGTATCTGGGACTCTCCTTTCGCTCCCTAATTAATGACCATTAATTGTGCCGCATGCTGCTGTCAGCCATCTTAGCGGCAACCGCTGCTGCAACCCCCAATCCCCATCTGACATGATCCCATTCGATCCAATTCCATTCCCATCCCGATGCCCGATGTCGAGGCAATGTCAAACATTTGGATCTGCTAATCGCGTAAAACATAACACCATTACCGCCATAAAATAAATTTTCTGCCATAATATCTGTCGCGCAATACCGGGAGAAGGGCTCTAAGCCACGACGACGACAACAACGACGACGACGATTCAAGCAAACGACTGCAGCGACGACGACGACAGCAAACGACGACGACATCTTGTGTCCAATTCCGATTGCAATTTCCAATTCCTCAACAGGATTTTGATTTATGCCGAAATCGCGGAGAGCAAGCAGAGCGCACAAAAACCGAAAACACAAATCAAACGCAAACAGCGCGACGAAACATTGCAACAATCCATGCCCCGGCCAGCATGCGATGCCAGCCTCAGATTCAGCTTCAGATTCAGCTCCAGCTCGATCTCTGCCGACTGCCGGTCTATAGCTGCAGCAGCAGCAGCAGCTATACTCGTAGCTCCGCGCTCCCATGTTGGCCAAGTGCCAACAAAAAAGGCCAAAACGAGCGCGAAATCCAAACGCGAGCGGCGCGCGCGTTTTTTGTCGCGTCAAATGGCCCCAGCAAAAACGCCCCAAGATCCGTGGACCCACTGATGCCCTGATCCTCCCTGCTCTCCCGCTCTGCCTCATTGATATTTCGAGCGCGAGCGTATAAAAATATTCTGTTGTACCTTCGACTCGAATCCCGGCCGGCTCTGGGCTCTGAGCTCGGACTCAGAGCCCTGGCCTGCCCTGGCCTAAAAGTGTCGCCCGAGCGGGATCGTCGCGACGATCAGCGATCATCATCGATCCGGCGATCGATCTTGTCTGCTGTTCCCTGTCTCTCCCCTCTCTCCGCTCCCCTCTGCCCATGCTGCTCTGCTGTGCTTGCTGGTCGTTTTTTGTGCGGCTTCCCTGCTCCCAGTGGCTGTCAGTCATAGTCATGCCAGGGCATTCCAATCTGGCCATGATCAGGAGGCTTCTTTGGCTGATTCTGCATTCCTGGCCGTCAGTTTCCTTGCGCGCATCCTCAACGCCTTTTAGCATTGTTTATGAAGTGGAGGAAGGGCACTGCAGAGGAGTGCAGGATGCAGTGCAGGAGGATGCCAGGATGCGGAATCGCGGCACCGCCTGCACGTGATACAATTATGGCAGATTTTTTCCACTCCTCCATCCTGCGATCGGTTCGGTTTGGGTCGGGTCGGGGCCGGGCCGGGCCTATGCCTCTCGCATATTTAACGCGCTCTCCGCGGCACAGTTCTCCATTTTTTGTCGCGCTTTGCATAACTTAAGGCTGCCGCAATTGTTGCGGCAATTATTTTTAGCCAGCTCCCTTGCCAGCTGATTTATTGGTGGCATATTCAGAGTAGCCACCGATCTCGTTGGCTGTGGCTGTCGCTGCTGCTGCGGCTGCTGCTGGGAAAGTTTTTCGCAACTTCACACCTCATCCAAGTCCGACGGCTGCTCCCCAGGCGGCGGCCTGCTTATGAATTCCGCTCACAGTGCCACAGCTTCGACTCCGATTCCGATTCCAATGCCATTTTCAGAGGCAGAGCCACAGTCACAGCCACAGCCAGTGGCAGTTCCATTGTCGCCTCTTCGAGTGCTCGTCGTCTCCTGCCACCATCGCCACCACCGCCGCTGCGGGCGATCGATAGTTATGGTCGTGTCAGACATCCTGTAATTTTGCACTCGCCGGCCTCTCGCATCTTGCATCGCGCGGCATCTGCCCCCATCCCCAGTTGCAGTTCCCATTCTGCTCTCCAGCTTGTTGCAACTTGTTGACACTTCATTGGCGCGCAAGTTAATTAAGGGGGAGCTCACTGCCCCTGCCCCTGCCACTGCCACTGAGACGAGACAGAGACAAGAGACCAGAGACCACCAGGGGGGCAAAGCACTTCATTTACTTGGATACAGAGACTTTATTTTATTTAAAATTTAAATACGGTATTTATGTAGAATTACAGATACTTGGGGGAGGGGTGTGGGATACTGGGGGGACTACTGGGCTACTACTGCTACTATCTATCTATATACAGGGCTGAAACTGGGACGTTGAGACATTGAGACTCTCCTCCTTCTTAGTTGACGACCTCCACGCTGCAGTCCTCCTCCTCTTCCTGCTGCTCGTCCTCCACCTTCGTGTCCTCTGGCAGGAGGATGGTGGTGCGAGGACTCGTCTGCAGCACCACATCGTCGGAGGAGCCGTCCTGGCTGCTCTCGCACGAGCTGGAGGAGAGGCACTCCAGGTGCTCGCTCCGCCGCTTCCCCTCCAGCAGACTCGCCTGCGACTCGCCTTTGAGGCGCATCCGCTTCTCCGGCTTCTTCAGCAACTCTTCGATGGAGTAGGGGTTCCGCTTCCGGCTGTGGCTGTGGCTGTTGCTGTGGCTCAGCAACTGTCCCCGGGCCGCGCTCAGGGAGAGTGCTGCCGGCGAGGACTTGCCCGAATCACAGTCGCTGAGGGCGTCGCCGGTGCCGCCGGGCGTCGACAGATCAATGGAGCTCTCCGACTTGGTGAATCCCCCGCCATTGGATGCTCCGCCTCCGACTGCCGCCACCGCCGCTGCGGCCGCAGCCATGCCGTGGGGCAGATAGCCACCGCCGTAGGGCAGGAACTGGGCCCCCGTGGCGGCCGCCTGGGCCTGCATGTGCGCCTGCGTGTAGTACAGCAGCGAGGGGTTCCACAGCCAGTGCTTGTGCAGGGCCGAGTAGCTGAGATCCAGGCCCCCCAGCTGGCTGGACACCGACATCCCCCCACCAGACACGCTCGCACTCAGACCGTGTCCATGTCCGTGTCCGTGTCCATGTCCATGTCCATGACTGGGTGGCAGCTTGGGAGCGGGCTTAAGCGGTAGCTCCCCTCCGGCGGGGGTCATCATCATCGATGGGTGCTTTGCGTAACGTCCGCCGGTGGGCGTGGCTGTTGCCGAGGGCGGGGCATTGGTGACCGCTGGTGTCTGTGTCTTGGGCGAGTGGCTGTTGTTGTTGTTGTTGTTATTGGGGCCTCCGTAGAGCTGCGAGGGCGTGGCATAGCCAGCTCCTGGTCCACCCGGTCCTCCGCCTGCCGCCTGATGGGCCGCCGCCGCTGCAGCGGCAGCCGCCGCATTCTGCTGGCTGGAGGTCATCTCGTCCGTCCAGAGGCCGCTGTTGCGCAGGATGCGGTTGATGGAGCTGATGGACGGCACGGAGCTGGGATCGCAGACGCGCTGCTGCTGCAGCTGCTCCCGGATCTCCCACGCGAACATGCCACTGTTCTCCTCCTTCAAGCGGATGATCTTCTTCACGACTGTGGGCGTGGCCACTTGCTAACAAGATAGAGTGAGAGAGAGAGAGAGAGGGGGATTGATAAGATATATTTGCGGATATAAAAGATTTCTACTATAAGAACTTCTCCATTGTGACTTTCAAAGAACAAATATTTGTATCCGATAAGTGGATCGTGGATCAGCCCCTGTGCATCAGCCCCTCTGTCTCTGTGGGCCCCCCATGGAACGAGGGAACGAGGGAACGATTAATTGCCGTGAAATTCGATTGTGCCATAAACTAAACCAAACTAAACTAAGTTTAAACCTTCGCTTCAGGGCGCAAACAATTGCAAAAATCTGCACACTGCACACTGTCGGCCACGCCCCTTTTTAGCTGTCATGTTCAGAGATTTGCATCGGACTGCACTGTGCCACACAGACGCTGCAAGGTGTTCCCCCTTTGTGGCATATGTTAATTTGTTGTGGAGAGTATGATGGGGGACGGGATGGGACTTGGAATGGGAATGGGAGCCTGCCACGAGTAGTCGTGTCCACCGGTGGCGCCTCCGCTCCTCACGTGTGACGCGGCAATTCATTAAAAATTCATAAATACGCTTAAGGGTATGCCCCTGCCACGGGAGAGAGATCTTATCGGCCATCTACACGCGCGCACTGGCCCTTAGTTCTGACGGATATAACATGGGTCTGGGCCTGGGTCTGGGCCCTGGGCCCTGTGTCCGGAATAGAGACCGCATTACCCCTGGCAGTGCCGAAGGGTGAATGGGAGTGGTGGAGGGGGGGTGGGGTGGACTTTATTGACCCAGCGTAGGTGTTAAATGCGCGTTTTGTTCGAGCGAGTGCAGGCGGTTATTGAATCACCATGTAAGTGGGTGGATGGGGATCCACCCCCTCTCCCCCCTTACATCTAGTGGGTGAGGGGAGTACACTCGTGTACATTGTGCACTTTGTGGGCGTTGCAACTACCGTTAATTAGGCGTTCTGTGCTGTCGACAAACATCGCACCTGAACAACTGTTTGTGTAGGCAGCAGGAGGGGGAGAAGGCGAAGAAGAACCAGGAGTATGAGTTTGGATGGTATCGTATGGGTCGTGATTCGTGCTTATCGCAATAGTGGATTCCACTATCACCAGAGAGGGAACTATCATCATTCTGGGGACATGGCATTGTCGTCACTTGTATACCGGGTACGGATGCCTGTGTCTGTGTCTGTGTCCGTGAAGTGGAGCAGCTTAAACGGTAGCCACGCACTTGATTGGGCGTGCGAACCCGCCAGCTGACGACCTGGAGAGCAGCCCCAGGGAAAGCGTGCTCCGCTGGGCTTATCATCGGGTATCGAGCAGCAGCAAACGAGATTGATTTGTTGCGCCTCCTCCCACACACACACACACACAGGCACACACACACTGAAACGACCCTCAGTCAACCATAAAAGCTGTCACCATAGACCCATCATCATCATCATCATCCAGCCATTCCCTCCATCCGCCCATTCCCTCCATCCGCATGGTAGCCAAAACATGTAAACTATCTGTCGGTTACCATCCTCAACTTATCTGCCTTTCTGTGCGTGTTTCTGTGATACTTTATGGATTTACTGCTGTGCGTTTGATTTTTATATAATCGTTTGTTGATTTCATGCCCAACCCTCTCGCCTGCCCGCCTCCTACGCCCACCTGGAGACCACATGTGGCTTTGCCACGGCCCAGCACTCACCTTGGTCTTGCTGCCACCAATGGATCCCGGTCGTATGGAGCCCGTCTCGTAGAATCGCGTCAGTATTTTGGAAACGCAACCTGTCCGAAAGGAGATCAAGAGAAGTGGCTGTAGTGGCAGGACTCGGGACTCCCTCTGCTGCTCGGCTGCTCTGCAGCGGACACTTACCATGAGAGACCAGCAGCTGGCGGGAGATATCACAGGGCCGGACGCCGCACAGGGCCAGATCCACGATCCGGCGGCGGACGCAGTCCGGCAGGGGACGTCCATTGACAAAGACGCCGCCCAATTGATTGACACCAGCTTGACCTGGAAGTGAAGGAGGATTCTCATTAGATTCGCATTCGATTAGCATCAGAGAAGACAGTCTCCTGCCTGCCTCAAGCTGCTGTGGCTTTCCCCCCTTCCCATTCTCTGTGGGGGGGAAACATTTGCATAGCAAACATTTGGAATTTACGAGTGCTACGCGTACATGTTCCTAAGCCCCAATAAACCGCACAAAAGCCCTGAAAGATTTACAATAGCCACAGACACAGCTACGAGTCCCCGCCCTTCCATCACCCCCTCTGCTGGCTTGGCTAATCTTGGGGCCCGTGCCCACGATCGTAAAGGCTGCTGTCGCGAGCGTACGACGAGTACTCGTAGTACTCGTAATACTCGACTCCACTCCACTCCGCTCCACTCCCGTAATAGCCGTATCTTCTGGTGTGGCACTTCTTTTGGATAAACGCTTTGTCTTCGTTGGATTTCTGGGAGATCGCATCTGGGGCTTTCATTTTGGGGACACCACTCCGACCGAAGTCCGAGCTCATTAGCGGGTTATGCGATAGCCAGACACTCGACTCGAGACTCACCTGTATGTGGCATGATTGAAAGGCTGAAGAAATCGATTCCCGGCGTCGTCGTCGTCGTCGTCGTCAACAATTCAATCCAAGAGTGATTCGTCGCTGCCTCCGTCAAGTATTTTGGTTAAGTTCCTCTGCCGCTTCTGCTTCTGCTGCTGCTGCTGGTTGTTGTTTAGTTAATCGCTGAATTTTAATCAAATTTCAAGCAAGAACGCCATAAAAACGCTTTGATGGATGTCGTCGTGGTCGCTGGCTCTCTGCGCTGGCGCAGCTATTAGGATTGCTGCCAGATGCTGATGCTGATGCTGGGGATACAGATGCTGGGGATACAGATGCTGCTGCTGCTGTCTCCCTCCTCAGACGGCGGCGGCCCACTCTCCGAAAAGTTTTTACGGCTTCCACGAAATCGCTGCTCTCCGCTATCCGCTATCCACTCTCCCGCTCTCCACTCACCGCTCTACCGCTCTCCACTGTGCACTCTCCAGGCTGTGGCCAGAACTAAACCGAACCGAAGAACAGTGAAAATCTAGTAAGGAAAATACATAAAACTTAATTATTTTATAAAACTACTACGCGGGTCGGTTCGGAATTTAATGTGCAGTGGTTTATGTGCTCAATGGCCATGTCCACTGGCCACTGGCCACTGGCCGGGGCCGGGGCCAGGGAGTTACCTTACCGGTGGTAAGGAGTGGTGGTGGTGGCACCACGGATCGGATCGCTTGCACCATCATCATCCACTGGGGAGTAGTATCTCAAATTAGCTGCTTATCAGGCACATTCTCGACGCAGCGTGAACTGCTGGCCCATTAGGACTGTGGCAGGGGCAGGGGAATGGGAACCTCCTCCCCGTTGCATGTGACAGCTACTACCCGTACACATCCACACATGTATATGTATGTATATACGTGTATATATGCAAATGCCCCGGCGGTAACAATTAAAATGAATTTTGGCCAATTGCTCATTTCGTTAAATAACGTGGCCCAAAAGGAGCCGAGCCAGAGAGATATGCAAATGGGCTTTCAGCGACGGGTTTGCTGCTGCTGCTGCTGCTGCGGCGGGTGGTTTCCGCTTCCTGTCGCTGTCGCTGGAATGAATCGGGCCAGGATTCGAGCCTGTCGCCAGCCTGTCAGAGGCATGAAAACGCCTGAGAGGCCTGAAGAACCGTATAAATCAAAAGTGTAACTGCTCTTATACCGCCTCCCCCTCCCACTCCCAACGGCAGTCCACACTTTGTCATGGCCATGTTATTATGGAATTCACATTAGATTTAATTGCAGAGTCCTGCCGTGGTCCTGGGTCCCTGGGCCCTGGACCCTGGTCTCGGGATACTTTTAAGCTCGTAAAATCCCCCCTGGAATGGCGCGTGTACACACGCACCACATACCGTACTCCCCCCCCCGGTTGTGACTCTGACTCTGAAATTAAGTTGTTCATTAGGTTTTTTGGCTGTCGACGGTTCTGTTCCGAGTTCTCCAGTTCTCAGTGGTTTACCGCCGCTCACCGTCAAACGGGAAACTCGTGCTGGCCGTTAAGGCCATAAAGTTCGCAGTTGGCTCTTTGGCTTTGGCCTGGGGCCTAAGCTTAGACCGAACCGCGATAAGGACTCCATTCCATTCCACTCCATCTCCATCCACACTTTTGGCCGAAACTCTCATGTAGAAAGCAAAATAGACATTTCGGCCAAAACCAATTTAGATGCAATGAGAAAGGGTTAATTTCCCTCTCCTCTCTGCCCTCTTCGACTTGGCGTGCCGCCTGGCTATTTAGCTGGAAATGAGGCCCTAATCGAGGCCAATGAGCACATGAGCAGTCAAGCGGTTCTACCCCTGGATTGGGCCAGGAATAAAACAAAATTGCGACGCTTCTTGGGTATACTTCCCACTGATAAGCCCTTCTAGGAGCTTATCAGAAGATAGATCAGAAGATTTAAAAGAAAAATCCGCCTTCTGTGGGATATAGTTATCTGCAGATGCCATGGCTGCCATGGATTAATATTCTCACTCGATTCGAGCCTGTTCTCATGGTTTAAATATCAGTGAAAAACCTTTGGGTGGGAATATGTTTGAAGTTTGGTCATGAAAATCTCATTCTGAACAGAACTTTGTCCGTGGATATAGTATTCAGAGCCGGTTAGGGAACTTTTCTGGAGAAATCAGACTACTTGCTACCGTCCAGCGGGGTGCACGAGGAGGAGGAGGATGAGGAGGAGGAGCATACTCTTCAGGGGGCACTCTTGAATGGCCCGTAAGTCTCAATTAGCCTGCGTGCACATGTCAAGCGTAACACAGACATAAAAACCGATAGAAATTAGTTAAACATACAATAATTTAAATCGTGCGATTACCGAAAGTGGAACCGACAGGTTGGCCGAGCTTCTGTTTCGGATCTCCAGACCCCGGGAGCCCCACTGCTCGATCGATGAAGAGCAATCTGTGGGTTGCTGCATCGGGGACTGGGGCTGGGACTGGGACTGTGGCTGGGACTGACTGGGGCTACGGCACTAACAGCCGCTAATTAAAATAAAAAAATTATAATAAAACGTACGCTTCACAATTTGAATATGATTAGCTATGGAGCAGCGGCTCATGCTCTTTCTGGACCACAGAGCAGACAGTCCACCGGCCACCTTCTGGATTTTAAGTAAGTTGTCCAGCGGCTCGTTGGGATAGAAAGCTCCGAAAAATCAATGAGCCATAATGGCCATAATGGCCACTGGTCGAAGACCGAAGATCGAAGACGGCATGACAGAGAATTAATTAGCATATGATTTTTGGCTATTGTCGCTCTGGGGGCCTCCGTCTGGGGCCTCCGTGGGAAAACTGACAGAGAGAGAGATGATTCGATGACCAGATCGTAGATCAAATGAGTTATCCGCGTGCGGCGGAAGTTCAATTGTGAATTGGATGGTGAGGGGATTTTGGATTTTTGCAATGCAAATTCACTCTGGCAACGGCTTCTCTCAAAGGTGGAAATCGGAGCAGTATCCGTCCGGTGGCATCATCTACTCCAATATTCATTCATGGCGGAGACAGAAGTTTTGGCTTCGCTCCGTTCCGTACCGTTAGATTGTCGTTCATTAAGAAATAAGCCCAAGCCCCAGTCCGATCGGCGGACAGGCGGACAGGGGAGACAGAACTGAGCGATGTGTTGAACACGATAAGCAAATATCATTATTAAGCCTTTCAAACAAAGCCGCAACCTGATCGCGAGACTCGACTCGACTCGCCTCGATTTAATGATTTAGTTATACTCGTCTGGGAGATCCGATTGGGCATCCGAATTATGCGCAAACAAATTGATTACGATCGTTTATGGTGGCCATTATGGGCAGGTCAGGTCTTAATTGAGTCTCCAATAAGTCATCGCCGTTATCTTTTGTCCAGTGTCTGAACAGCAGGGAGGAGAGGCTTTCCAGAGTCAAAGAACAGAAGGACAGAACCCTCAGAGGGGAGACTTCTCACTCACCTTCTTGTGAGCACTCGAGGCAGAGAGAAATCCACTTGGATGTATTATGGTAATCCGTTTAGCACTTCACAACTTCACTTTCCGCTTGAGTTTCAGACACAGAGGCAGATGCAGATGCAGATACACTTGTTTCAGCGGGGGCTTATCCTGGCAAATCAGTCAGGTGTTGGTCTCGCGACGGCTAGCGTTTGCTCTTGGGTACATCGGGTTTTGTGTGTTTCGGTTTTGTGTGTGTTTCGGGGAGTATCGCGTCGCGGCGCACCTTGTCACTCGACCGTCAAAATTTCGACTAAATGCACGCGAATCGCGCTGCCAGCGCATCGATCATTTGTGTAGAGGAGTGGCGGCGCCCGTGGTCCATCAGCCAGCGCTGGCTACTGAAACCCCAGCAGCAGCACCAGCAACAGCGCCGTCGCACACAAACAATACCAACACGAAGGCCCAAAGCGAAACTGAAAACCCACCACGCACACACCGAAAGATTCTTTCACGGCCTCACGGACGGAACGTTTTTCTGGTGTAACCGGTTTTTCACGGCACCGCCGGCCGCCGCTGTCCCAGCCCCCAAATCATCTGCGGGCCAATGAGCGTGCAACATCGGTGCGCATGCGTCTCCCGCTGCGGCGCGAGCTCTGCCATTGGTCGAGCCCATGGACTGTGGCTGCTTCGCTGCGATGAGTCCCCCAGAGGCCACTCGACCGCGCACAGTGGAAACTAGAGAAGAATCTTTCTCTGAAAGTTGAATGGATTGGAAATGGAAATGGAAATGGCACCAAAAGGGATTTCATGGATCCCATTGACCTTTGGGAGAAGGACTAATTAAATATGCTGGGTAATGACTAAAAATAATCCCAATTTGGGTTACTTCTGATAAAATAATCTAAAGAATTGAATTATTTCTGTATTTTGGAGTCCGATCGCTTGCCTGCTTTTCTGCTGCTTTTGTCCCACTGTGCACAGTGCATGACGACTGCCTGGCCAGGCCGTCCTTCGTTCTTTCGTTGAGAAGCGCTTCCTAGGGGTAGTCGATGCCGTAGAGCGTTGCGGCAGCGTAGCCGTATCCGTTGCCGTTGCCGTTGCAGCGGCGTTCCGGCCAATCGGCAGAGGCAGAGGGCAGCGTCGCACATCCGTAGCTGCAGCTGCAGCCGCATCCCCATCCACATTCACATCCCAACCCGAACCCGAACCCGATCCACAATGTGACACAGCATTGGGCATAGCCGTTACCCTGGCGAAACAGCCACAGCTACGGCCACAGCTACGGCTTCCGACTTCCGCCCTTCCGCCTGCCTGCTTCCCTGTGAGGGTGGGGTGGGGTGGCTCTTGGCATGGGTGGCTGGCGTTAAGTAACGCTTGGCAGTGGTGCCTGCCGCAAGCGTTAATTGAATTCGACAATTGTCGGCTGTGGCATTCACAATCGAAAATGAATTTCCACAGCGACTGGCGCTGAAAGATAAAACTGTCATTTTGCTTGTTGATTGTCAAGCCACGAGGGAGGGAAGAATGGAAGGGACAAGGCAGGGTGGTGACAGGGAGTAGGTGGTATATTGATCCACAGAAATTAGTTATTTCTTCTTT